CATGAGTGGTTGGCTGGGTTTCTATGAAAATCAAAGACCACAGAGAGAAAATATCTTGTAAAAAAAGTGCAACTGTTAGCTGAAAGGTGAAAATGCAAGTTTCAAGACCTAAGTGCAGGACTCTTGGGTATTTCTTATGAATCTATGCAACCTTAAAAAGTACAATTCCAGGCCCTCCCTGGTGGTGCAGCGGGTTAAAGCACAGCACTGAGAAGCTTAAGCCACTTCCGCATGAATTCGATCCCCGCCTGCCCCGGAGGTGACCACATGGCGCGGCAGACCTCTCCTGACCCGCCCTCTGCTCCCCTCAGCAGTGTACTTCGTCGATCTGCCTGTTCTGCTCCCCACTGTCTCTGGTGAATACTCTCACCCTCCGCATCTCTGGCCTGTACCCCAGTTCTGTATGAATAAATAAATCTTTTTTTTTTTTTTAAAAAGTACAATTCCTTAAAGTTCAAAATCTCAGCTCATCCTGAGGTTCTTGTGCCCCTAAAATCACTGCTTCTCTTCTACTTCCCATCTTCCTACCCCACTACCCCTACTTCTGCTTCTTCTTTTTTTAAATATATTTATTTATTTAACATCATTCTTGATTTTGTGCATTTTTTTCATCTTGGTTGTAATCCCCGTGGACTTCCCACCACCAATTCACCCCATCCCCACTTCTAACCCTGGAGAAAGTGACTATGAAGGTGACATTTCAGGTGACCTCAACAGCTATCCTCCCTGGAAATGGTCCTGGGGAAAAACCTTGAGGGGACAGGGTTAATGTCTGGTGGGCCACTCTTTCTGGTCAGTCCCTCAGAAGACCTTTAGGATCCAATGATGATTCTGTCTTATACCTTCACACCTCAATACGAGTCATGCAGAACAGCTACTCCTTGATCTTGATAAAGTTATGGGGAAGCTGATTTTATTATAGTTTCAGTTACAAAAAGTTGACATATTTCAAATTATGATTTTACTACTAATCTAAAAGCAGAAAACTCCCCACACCCCAACCCAGCGATGCCAAGAAGGTCTGTGCAGGTGTGCCCTGCCCAGTTCCAGAGAACGTCATCTGCGTGGCAGCCTATGTCACTGGTGTCCCCTGGAGTAATTGGGTTCATATCTGCCTGGTTTGGTGCAAAGTCCCTAAAGTGTGACATGAGTTAGCATGTAAAGATTTCTGATACAAACTCTGATAACTCTTAGTTAAATACTTACCTAATGGACACAGTTGCTTCATTATTTAAGTCTGAGTTACAATTTAGTGTCCCTGCTGGTGTGTTCAACACTGCCTCGTTGACAAGTTGGGGAAAATGACAACAGGTCCCTCTTACAGAAACACACTCGGTGCGGTAGGGTTTAATGGCTCCACCTTCTTTCCTGTCCATCCAATTCAAGTAGCTGGTGTACATGTCTTCTGCTCAGGGCTGAACTGATCATCTCAGCATATTTGCAGGGGGTGGAAGGACAACTAACTGAGGATGCTTCAGCTCACTTTAGTACAGTCTTGTAGATGCCCTGAGTATCAGTTTCACCTAGAAGTCACTAGTACATGCTCTGAAGTCAGATGGACCTAAATGCCTGTTAGCTATGTCACCTTAAGCAGCTAACCTGTCTGTAAATATCAATTTCTTTAGCATACAATGAGCAATGGGACTAGGCTCATGGAGTTACTAGAAGTGTGAAACACAATAGATGCAAGCCAACCCTGGCATATATTAAGTGCTTGAGAAATACTTGCTATTGCTGTGACTCTTTTCACCCAGAGAAATGGTCTCCTAATATTACAACTTTACAGTACCAAAAATAAGCAAAATAGAGTAAAAATAAGAAATTGTAGTTCTAGTAAAGAAATCAAAAGGACAATCCCTTAGGAGGGTTAATTTCATACTCATTTCATTTGAGCTGTAAAAAATAGCTAATCACAGCAGGCATGTACTGGTTGCCTTAAAAAAAAAATAGGGGCTCTCCCTGGTGGCCCCTATTATGAGGCTCTCCAAAGCCACTGCAACATGTGTTCGATCCCTGGCTAGGGAGGTGACCCACATGGCGTGGCAGACCTCTCCTGACCCACCCACTGCTCCCCTCAGCAGTGTACTTTGTCAATCTGCCTATTCTGCTCCCCACTCTGTCTCTGGTGAATCATCTCACCCCACACCTCTGGCCTGTACCCCAGTTCTGTAAGCATAAATAAATAAATCTTGAAAAAAATAGTTATTTGGGGCCTTCCCTGGTGGTACAGTGGGTTTAAGCACAGCACTAAGAAGTTAAAGCCACCGCAACATGTGTTCGATCCCTGGCCAGGCTGGTGATCTACATGACGCAAGAGACCTCTCTTGACCTGCCCGCTGCTCCCCTCAGCACTGTACTTCCTCAGTCTGCCTGTTCTGCTCCCCATTCTGTCTCTGGTGAATCCTCTCACTGCCCCTGCACCTCTGTCTTGTACCCCAGTTCTATGCATAAATAAATAAATCTTTAAAAAATAGTTATTTGGGGGCTTTTTTACACAGCATCCCTGTCAAATAAGCATGTCCAGCTTTTTTCTTTACTCCCAGTTTCAGAAGAAGACATTGAGATGGAAAGAAGTTAGATGACTGTGTGAGCAGCAAGCTGTTCAGGGGTGGTGATGATCCACTAGGGGGCGCATGGCATGCAATGGGGTAGAGATTGACAGCAGAGAAAGATGTAATCTCAGTTCCCTCTTCACACTAACAAAGTGGGGGGAGACAACATGACTTTCAAAAAATGTATAGACCTATCTTTAAAATATCCCCTTAGCTCTCTCATCCCATCAGCTTACATATGCAAGACTGACAGCATAGAATTTCTGGAATCAAGATTGCATTTCAGAATAGGTAGTTCTGATAGGTCATTGCAGCTGGCAATACCTGTACTGGTCCAAACTATAAAGACAGAAAGTACGGAGAGTGTGTATTACTTGATTTGGTGGTATATAATGACGCCCTCTGCATTAGAAATAGCACTGTTTTGAGTGAAATCTCTACTAGCTTCTTTTAAGGGTGATTGATTTCTGAAAACTCAGGCTAGGAATAATATTGCTGCCCCATATCTGGAAGGTCCTACTTGCAACACATGATAATATCTATAACAATGTGTCATTAGAGGTTTTTCTAAAACTCACTTTCTAATTGTTATAGCAACTACATCAAGACTCACATAATTGCTTGATTTGTTTGCTTTGTCCATGTTTATTTTTAACTTTCAGGAACTGCCTTTCTTCCTCTTTCAGGGTGAGAGTTTTGTTTGGTTTGTTTTATGTATATATATATATATATTATTTGCTAAGTCATCATTCATTACACTGAAACCAAAGTGAAACAAAAAAGAAGAGACATACTGAAGGGCAGCGTCTCAAACAACAGGACCACCTTTTGTCTTCCCTGATATTTTACAGGAAATATTATCAGCAGGGTCCAGCAGATGAGAATCCAAACTACACTTGCACCAGATTCCAACCCGCCCCTGGTCACACAAACCAACACACACTTGAGTCAAGAAAACTTTTTAGTATTTACTTATGTTAATCATCAAGCCAAAGCAAACAGTCTTCCACTTCCTGGATCATTCACAGCAATTAAATATGAAGACATCACACATCCTCTGGACAAATAAGTCCAGGAAGGAGGGTCTGTGTCTGAGCCAGGGGGTGGGCCATAGGGTTGCATAGCTGTCCCAGGTTACCAAAGTCCACTTTCCAACTGTGAACTTTCTTCGTCCCACATACCAGCACCACCATGAATGCGAGGAAGCTGACCTGAGTCCTCCGTTTAGCACTCAGGTCATCCACCAGTTTACAAGTGTCTGTTGAATCATTGTGTTTCAAAGACTATGCAGCTCCTGGATTCATTCTCTCAGCATGTCCGGGGACACCAAAGCTCTTGAAAGAGCAACCATAACTAAATAAAAGAACCAGACAACTCAATCTCTGGTCAGGGGGGAGGCAGGCAAATAAATAAAATAATAACACGATATTAAGTGCTGACAGCCGTGTGTGCAAAGTGAGCTGGGGACAGAGGGGTAGAGAGCAGGGAAGAAATGCAGCTGCAGTGGCAAGGAGAACGGAACCCCTTTTTCTGCTCACTGCTGCTTGTTGTTTGTCCTGCCCCTCCCCCCTCCCCCCCACACCACAGAAGGGTGCACAATCCCACAACCCTGTTATCTACTATCCTAACCGTCCATAATTGCGGAGCTTGGGGACATCAGTTCCCTGGAGAGCAGTTTCTAATATGGTCAAGTGCAGGGGGAAACTGAACAAATACAAAGTTGTTTCCACAACTTTGGTGGGGACCCCAATAAACTCAAGCAGAAAAGTCACTTCCCGGGCCTTCACCCAGGACAAGCTGGAATCCAAACCAACAGGGTCAAACACCTGGCAGCAGAAATGAACATCTGCCTAAAGCTGATGCAGTTCCCAGCCCTGGCACAACCTCCCGGCAGAACCCCACTTCCTACAGGAAGTCAGGGACAGTGGGAGTTTTAGCAGTCAAACATCGCCACCTCCTCTGGTTCCTTTAGGATTCCTGGGTTGCCTGGGCTTGGAGGTGAAAAGTGTACCAAAGGGGAAAACTATCAGTTTTTATTACTCACTGCGCTGACTTTGACTTCGTAACACCGAGATAAATATCTCCGTATCTACCCTTCATTTCCAGTTTCACTTCCCAGCTCTAGCGGCACTTGGATTGTTCGCAGATAAATGTGAGACCCCGAGCATGAATGAAGCAAGCGACCCCTGGCGTGGCACACAGTAACTCGGGACACCCAGACCCCCCCCCCCCCCCCGACCTGAGACAGCTCAGGTACCGGTGGTCAAAGCCAGTACCGACTCCCGGGCGGGAACGAGCTGCCCCTAGGTGGAGAAAAGTTGTCAAAACTCCACGCCCCCGCCTCGGTCCCCAGGGGTGTGACGGCGCGTGGGTGAGCGCGCAGGGTGCGGTAGGAGTGTGCTGGGGTGTAGGCGCGCCAGGGCGCCCCGCGCGGCGTTAACCCCTTACCTTCCAGGAGCACCTCCTTGCCTGCGCGCTTCAGCGCCTGCACCGCCTCGTCGTGGGTGGCGTCCCGCAGGTCTGCCCCGTTCACCGACAGGATGGCGTCGCCCACGTAGAGGGCTTGGGTCTGGTCTGCCGCCAGCCCCTTGAAGATCTTGCTGATGAGGATGGGCATCTTGTTCTCCTTGCCCCCTTTGATGCTGATGCCCAGCCCACCCAGCTCCTGCTTCAGCACCTTCACTCCACGCTTCTGGTTCGAGATGGACTCGGGCACCTGTTCAGGCAGGTCGGTGAAGGCGGTGCGGACCCCAGCTGGCGAGTCCGGGGGCTGCGCGCCGCCGGTGCCCGGGTGCCCGGTGCCCGCGCCCCTGCAGAACGAGCCATTGGTAGCCGTCCCGATGCCGTTGTACGCCGCAGCGCCCTCCTCGCAGCTCAGAACCAGGGCGTCCTCGCTCAAGTTCACCAGAACTTTGTGCCAGCGATCCCGCACCAAAACTTCCAGCAGCCCGCTCCGCTGCGCCCGGCCGCCTCCTCCGTCTGCCGGCCCCGCCGCAGCCGCCGCCGCCGCTGCTACCGCCATCTTTCCGGCATTCTTAAAATGCCATGTGATTGCAAAAGGGGGGAAAAGTGGGGAAGGGTTGCGGGGGGAGGTCGCGGGGCCTGGGGCCGCGGGGAGAGCGCGCTCCGCCGGGAGGAGGACCGGCGCGGGGCTTCGCTCCGGGAGTTGCAGGCGCGCTCCGCGCCAGTTGGCCGCAGCCCAGTTCCCCCTCGCCTGATCCTGGGCGGGGTGGAGCAACCTAAAAGAAGAAGGAGAGATAGAAACAGGGGAGAGGAAGAAGGGCAAAAAAACAGCTGCCAGTTGCAAAACGCTGAACTCGCGGCGCAGCTCCGCGCGGGGGAGATCCGGTAGGAGGAGGCGCGCGCGCCGGCAAGGGCGGGACCCGCCGCCGGTGGCCGCTCACCTGTTCCTGCCGCCGCAGGCTCGGCGTGTGACCGCCTCGCGCCGGCCCCGATCCTCCTCGTCTAGCTCAGAGCCGCCGAGCAGCAGGGACCGCGTCCCCGGGAGCCCTCTCCCCACCCGCCAGCCCTTCTTCTCCACTCGCCCTTCTCCCCGGGCGCCCACTAGGCACCTCTACCCGTTCTGCGTGCCTGCCTCGATTCCCTCCCTCCTGCCTTGCTCCTGAGCCTCCTTGCGTTTCACACCACGGGTTAAATTGGCGCTCAGTCCTAACCCGCACCGGGTCTAGTTCCAGGTCTCTCCACTCGGGCTTCTTCAAGCTATGCTCGAGTTTGCCTATTGACTTGTTACCTGTCTCTCCTAATCGCGAGGACTCGCAGGTAGATTCAAACCAAGGCCCTGATTTATTTAAGTTCTTGTTCCAAGAACCCAGAATTAAATGTCAGCTTACCCCGCAGCGAGGAGGACCGGCGCGGGACTCCACTCTGCAAGTTCCAGAGAAGCTCCCGCCAGGGCCCCAAGTGTCCTCTTTTTAAGTGCTGGCCATCTCTCTGACCAGTCTCTGAAGAAGTGTCTCTGCTGGCTGGAGCTTTCAGCAGGTCACTGCCTGCCCCAGACCCCAGGGACAAATGTTCTTCTGGCTCTAACACATTTTATGCTCAATGCTTCTGCTTCTTGCAACTTTCACTTTCTTCCCAAGATCCAATATTAAAGGTGTCCCTGCACTGGATTGGATCTCAAAAGCTCTTTAGGCATTTTGTTTGGAGCCCAGACTGCACTTTTCCAGGGAAGCAATATTATAAGGTTACCTTCTGAGGCCAATCCAGAAAGGTCAACAAAACCTATGTCATAGCTGAAGCTGCCAAGTCCTTGTCTTTGACCTTCTCAACTTTTCCCCCATCCTAAGCAGACCTCATGGAACTCCCCAGGGGTTTCATGTTTCTCATTTAGCACTCCTTTCCACTCCCACTCTGCTCTTTCCCCAAAACTAAAACAAGACACACGCAAATCCCTAAAGGTAAACCCAACTCAGCAAGGCACCAAAAAGGCAAGAAATCTTACTGAACTCCTTCCCACTGATGTGTGATCACTGAATGCTCTCTTGATCTTCCAGAGTGACATGAACTTGTCATTCAGAATGCTTAAAAAACCCAGACAAATTCCAAAAGGGTCAGTGATCCAGACAGACAGGGTCACAAAATAGAATGAAAACACTTGACTTTTTTCCGAGGGGAAATCATTTTAGCTTGGGGATGGGGGGCGGGGGGAGAAAGAGAGGGCTTGGATTCATGCTTCTGCTTTCAGCCCCCATTCTTTCCTATATGTTTAAATCACCAGTTTTCCAAAAGCCCTTTATTCTTTCATGTAAAGATGCCCACCTCAGGGACTAAGCAGCCTGAGAACTGGCACCAGAAACATTGGTGTGGGGCGGGGGTGGGGGTGAAACCTGCTGGAACTGTGCTCTGCCTTGGAGGCTGAGGACTCACACACATTTCTTCTCAGGGAAATTTATCTGAAAAGGTCTTGAGTGTCTTGAGTGTTCCTAGTCCTCTTCCCCCAGTAACCTGCCAAATCTTACCAAATAATGTGTAAGACCCACAATAATAGTGACACAGAGTAAAAGGAGGGATAGTATAATAAATGCAGAGCCTGTAGGAAGCAGGGTAGGAGATCAGTGGGGTCCTGACCACAACTACATCTCGATTCAAGTGTCACTGCCCAAGAGAGGGTGTGTATTCTAATCCAACACAGGTGGAGACAGGTACTACAGTATGAATGTGCTGATTCATCAACCCAGGCAGATTCACCCCTGAACTGAAATTCTCCATTCACATCACTATGTCTTGCCTCTGGTGTCAAGCAATGTGGGAGGCTCAGGTATAACTAGAATTAATTTATAGAGTTGCCATAGGAGATTGCAGACTGAGGGACAGGAATTTCTCAGGATCTCTGTGCTAAGTATTAAGCACATATTTCCTATTTAGGGGATCTATATGGGAAAGAGCTAGTTGAAATTGTCACTGGAAAGGAGACACAAACTGGCTATGGAGTAAGACCAAGCCCTGCCTGTCCAGCAGAGGGCTAGCTCACGGAATTATCAGCAACTCCCATATTAGCAAGTTTGCATTAGGCCACTTGCTTTTATGAGAGACCTACATTATACTTAGGTGTACTAACTGCTAGCAGAAAGACATCCAGAGGGGATTTTCACTTTTTACAACAAAAGGGGAAAAGTGAAAACAGCATTCAACATTTATTTTGCAGCAGCTGCTTGAGAGGCATTGCACACACACCTACCTGGAGAAGTGACACTTGAATCGAGATGTAGTTGTGGTCAGGACCCCACTGATCTCCTACCCTGCTTCCTGCAAGCTCTGCATTTATTATATTATCCCTGCTTTTACTCTGTGTCACTATTATTGTTATCTTACACATTATCTTACTATTATTATCTTACACATTATTTGGTAAGATTTGGCAGGTTACTGGGGGAAGAAAACTAGGAACACTCAAGACCTTTTCCATATAAATTTATGGCAATTGGTCTTTTGCTTTAGGCCATTTGGCTTTCGGAATGTTTCACGGGAAAACTACTTTCACATAGCCAAGGAAGGTGTACAATAGCTACTATCAGAAGTACTTTACATCTATCTGTTTAATCCCCCCAGCATTTTCCCACTTCCATTTCACAGGTGAAAAAGTAGACATACAGTTTTAATAAGTGGCCTCTGTCATGTAGTTCCTAATGCAGAGTCCAGATCTGAAGCCAGCTGTAAAGAGTCTAGGCGCTGAACCATCTGGAAAATACTCAGAGCCTATTAGCCAGGCCCTTGGCTATGCGCAAGTGGCACTGAAGGAGCCTTTCCATTGGAGAGCAGCTGTGACTGAAAAGGCCCTTCCTCCTGGCCCATGCAGAGGGCAGAGCCAGGCCTTGCCTCTGGCCTCTACTTTCCAAGCTTAGAAAACATCCTGCCTCCCCACCCCTAATTGACACGTTTTTTCCAGCCACATTATGATGAAACAGGGGACTGCTGTGGCCTTGCTCCCCTAGAAGCCAAGCTCATTGCTCAGGCAGCTCAGAATCTTTTTGCCTCTTCAAGATAAAGGCATTTCTTCCAGGGGATCCTCGGAGCCCCAGGTAGACCTTTAGCCAGGACTGCCCATACTCTCCTTGGGCTCCCCTTTTAAAGAAAAGTCACAGGAAAGGACTGGCGGCCCCTGTAACATCCGGGATGTATAGCTGGCCTTTGTAGCCCAAAGCGGCCCCATGACAGACCCGAGACCACACTCTGGATTCATGGCAGTTGGGTTATTGTGAAAACCAGCCCAAGCTGAGTATTCCAGAAATCATATCTGAAGCCCCCACCTTCTAACTAGTTATTTTTTTGCTTAGCTCTGTCCCTGTAGGACTTCCTCCCTCTCTCCGAAACTTGACGTCTTCTTGCCTTCCATTTCCCAGCCAGCCAAAGGGAACTCCTCCTGCAGGTGCTCTTTCCTGTAGAGAGGCACACTGCTTACACCTGGTAGGTGCACTCAGACCAGAGCAGGGCACACGGTGGTCTGCAGCACAGAGCCTAGGCCACATCGGTGAGCAGCAGCGTGCGGGGGGAGGAGCGGAGTTCCTCCATTCCTTCCACTCCCCCACATTGTGCACCCCCATGTCCCAGGCGCTGTTCTGGGGGCTGGGTATGGGAGCAGACTAGCAATGACCTGTCCCATGAAGTGTGGGGTAGGGGAGATGGAGACAGACACACCTAAGTTACTGTGCTACAGAAGTAAATGCGAAGAAGAAGACAAATCTGAGTAATAGGGCTGAGAGTAACTAGACGTGGCTGTCAAGGAAAGCGTCTGTGAGAAGGTGACTTCTGAACTGAGAATGGATGCTAAAAGAAGGGGAGTCTTACAAAGATCCATGAAAGAAGGCCCCTGGGAAAAGAGAGCACCAGTGTGAAATACCTGGAGCAATAGCTAGGGTGCTGGCTCAAGGTACCTAAAGGAGTCAGGATATCTGGGGCGGGCTGCCCAGCAAGGAACAGAGAGGCAGGTCAGTAGATGAGAGAGAGGCTGGACTAGATCATCAGGTAGGGTCATGGGAGATTGCAACACGGTCCAGCCTCCTTGTCTTTATGAGCTTCAACTAACATATATTTTGGGTAGTCAGGGATAGTCCTGATTTGAAGTATTACCTCCTAATATCTACGGAGGATACTTCTGTTGGTTAGAGAACATGCTGCGATATTTAGTTCGGAAAATATGATCATGACACTTTCAACGCTGACTCTTAAAGGGTAGGTTAAGCATCCGCAAGGGAACTTGCTTAATATATAGGATGGAGAGTAAGTACATCCAAGGTGAAGAGTGGAAAAGAGGCTATCGAGAGCTCTTTGATACCTGGCAGGAAATCAGAGAAAACACTCGGAGAAGAACAGGAGTGGCATTTGAAATACAAAGCTACGAAGGTGAAGCCTGCTTTTACAGACAGGCATGAACTTTATGCGTATCAACTACTTACTCTTAGAAGGAATGCAGGAAAGTGCTAGAAGCAGGACTGCCCAAAGACAGAAAGATAATTATATAGGAAAACAGACATGTATTCCAAAGGCAAATGGAGACGGGGAAGGGTGGGTTCCTATGAACTGGCTACTTGCTGGCCAGTCATGGGCGATTGTGACCTATTTGCTATCTACAAATCACAGCAGAACATTCCTTGACCATCTACGGGGTATAGCCTGAATCATGAGGTGGGTCCGGGGACACCTAGGCCACCGTTTACCTGATGGCGTGACTATCTCCATGCAGGTCTCGGATAACGCTGCCTGTGATAACATCACACTTTGCTGACGCAAATGTCTCTTGACACATGGTCACGATGTCCCCTTCCCTGTTCCTCGTAAAACGTTGTC